ATAACTAAGGTGAAAAAAATGTAATTTTAAATGCCTTAAACTTAAAGAGTCCTGGCAGGTTTCTAGCAGTCATTAAAAGAAATATTTTAGGACTGCTCTCAATTGCTCTGTTAAATGACCTGGAGAGGAACATCAGGTTAAACAATTTGCAATTCACAGGAGCTTTCCCACCCCTCAAAATTCAGGATATTGTTTTCTTAATTCAGGTTTTCCTTATTCCCTTCTGTTTCCCCAGGGAGAAAAGACAGCAGAGATTTAGCCTCATTATGGAGTTCTTTTAGCAAATGCTTTTCTCTGGGTCTAGAAGCTAAATGTACAGACATCATTTCACTACTAAGATATTTCTCTTGGGCTGTCTCCTCCCTATTCTGTTTGTCTTCCCCTTCTTAGGGTGAAGCCTGTATCTCTCTATGCTGCCTTCTTCCTCCACTTTTTGATGAAGTTATACCCTATCCTGGGCCTTTCTGTTGATTTAAAGAAATTTTGCCAAGACTCAGCCTGCTCAGGCCTTCAGGATGGTTTGGCCCTTCTGTTCTTAGCTCCTGCTCTGTGTGTGTCTGGGATCCATGCACAGGCTGGTTCTCAACCGCTGGGTTCAGTCCCTGGCTTCTCAGGGCTGCTGTGCTCTCCTCTTCCGTCAAGCTGCCTGGCCTTCCTCTGACAGATATCTAATCTTGGGTTGCAATCTGGTGTTTCAAAAACTGCAGCGTTCTGTTACTGTCTTTTACAAACTCTTTAGCCATGCTATCTGGTATTTTTTTTCCCTGTCCTTATGAAATCAATCCTCTTTTCACCATATTTATTATGAACTGTTGTCCAGACATCAAAAAAAATATTATAAATCTATTTTCAAGTGTATGCCAAAAATCAGGCATTTTAAAGACAAACACATCATTCTTCTTGTCTTGTTCTATTTAAGCACATCCTAACTGGGGTCCCAGATCTCCCCTGTTCCTTTCAGAGACCCCCGATTAGGGCAGAATACGCTTAGGTGCTTGCCTTCAACCTCCTTTTTTTTTTTTCCTTTTTGCTTGCATTCCTCCTAAAACAATGGTGATGCAGTGTGCTCCTTCTCACATATTCATTGAGTTTATTCTTAGAATATTTCATAGGTTTCTATATTGGAAAAATACATAATGTTTAGCATTTTATGAACACATATTTTCAGTAAGGCACTTCACTCTTTCACAAATGTATCCAATGTCACCTAGATAACAAAGAATGTGTCTTTAAAACACACCACCATCCACTGAAAAATACAGGGCTTCCCTGGTGGTCCAGTGGTTAAGAATCCTCCTTGCAATGCAGGGAACACCTGTTCAATCCCTGGTCTGTGAAGATCCCCCATACCGCAGAGCAAGTAAGCCTGTGTACCACAACTACTAAGCCCGCGAGCCACGACTACCAAAGCCCATGTGCCTTGAACCTGTGCTCCGCAATAAGAGAAGCCACTGCAATGAGAAGCCCACACACCACAACTAGAGAAAGTCCACATACAGCAACAAAGATCCAGTGCAGCCAATAAATAATAAATAAATATGATTGTAAAAAAAGAAAAATACATATATTCTACTCTAATGGTCAGAACTTTTCTTTTTATTAATATTCCTTAAATATCAGTTCTCATTACACTTCTACAGAATTTTATCCTAATGCAACATGTTTGATCACTCCTTCGGTGGTTATCCTTTTGTTTCTTTGCAACAACAAAAATATATAGCTATTGAAATTAAATTTTTTTCTTGTGACCATGAGGCTTTAAGTGTTCAAATTTTTCTTCAGCACGGAGGTCTAATTTCCATTATTATCAGCACATGTAAAATCAAAACGAATATTATGAATATTGACAATTATTAAACATAAGAAAAGTTTACTGGAAATGTATCTCTTAATGGGATGGATGAGATTCTCATTTTCTATCTGTGCATGAGGATGCAAATGACTTAATGGTTGGAATGAGACAAACTTCAGAATCAATTCTATTTCTGTTTTTCACTTTTTGTAGCTATAAGGGCTAAGGAATCTTGCTCATATGAATAAGTAGGTGGGCATGGAAGAGTTCAGTTATAGTGATACTTCATTCTTTGAAAGCCTATGATATATATAACAAAAGTACTTCATTTTTTTATTAGCTATTAATTCTATTAGGGACTCCTTCAATTTTGCTGAAAACAGAGAATTTGATACTTCCTGGTTTGCTGAAGGATTTGTTAGTCATTACAATTTGGTAAGATATCAGTATTTCCAGTCATTCTTTTGTTTGGCACTATGGAAGTTTTCACACCTCGGAGCAAAGCACTATATTCATGATGGGTAAGAAGCAGGCTTTATATGAAGTGGGTAAAGCAAAAATAAAAGAGGAAGTGTTTTAGGGGAACCCCAAGAGCTTTGCCTGGAAGGCACATTCTCAGGCACAGTCAATTTAGGGAAAGAGTATTTGAGGAAGATGAACATCTAGAAACAAATTTCCTAAAACTGTCTATGTGTATGCATCCCATAGAAAGTCTTTGCGATCCCATATAGTCTAACTGGACAATCATTAAAGGTATAAGGGATTAAGAATTAATTAATTAAGGTTTGAGTCATCCTGTTGAGTCATCCCTGGTCTAGGTGAGGAAGCAGGAAGAGTGCCTTCCCATGGAAGAGGGACAACTCTCAGCCAGAGCAAGAAAGATTGGGACTGGTGTCAAATTGCCCAAAGACCCTAGATGCGTTAAAGCACGCCCACAAAGATCAACAAACACGGGGCAGTGATTTTGGGGTGCAGATATGCAAGAACACTAGGAGATCGTGAGGATGTTGAGCTCTCTCACCTCCCACTGATTAAACTCAGACTAACGTCAATGTCTGGAGCTCCTCCCAGCTGACTGTAGAAAATGCAGTAGAGGTAGAAGGAGGTTACATCCAGGCTGAGGGCTTTCTTGATGATTCACTGTTAGCTGAGGTGTAAGAGGGCACCATCCTTGCGGTAACTGAGGGTCTTTGAACCAAACCTCTGGCCACCCACCATATGCCAGGCATCATGCTCAATTTTTTATGTTACCTCTTTTTATTTTTACAGTAATCTTATATGGTAGATGCTACTATTCCTAATCTTTTACAAATAAGAAAAATTCCAGATTATGATAACCTCAGATATGCAGATGACATCACCCTTATGGCAGAAAGTGAAGAAGAACTTAAGAGCCTCTTGATGAAAGTGAAAGAGGAGAGTGAAAAACTTGGCTTAAAACTCAACATTCAGAAAACAAAGATCATGGCATCTGGTCCAATCACATCATGGCAAATAGATGGGGAAACAGTGGAAACAGTGACAGACTTTATTTTGGGGGGCTCCAAAATCACTGCAGATGGCGACTGCAGTCATGAAATTAAAAGACACTTGTTCCTTGGAAGGAAAGCCATGGCCAACCTAAACAGTATATTAAAAAGCAGAGACATTACTTTGCCAACAAAGGTCCATCTGGTCAAGGCTATGGTTTTTTCAGTAGTCATGTATGGATGTTAGAATTGGACTATAAAGAAAGCTGAGCACTGAAGAATTGATGCTTTTGAACTGTGGTGTTGGAGAAGTCTCTTAAGAGTCCCTTGGACAGCAAGGAGATCCAACCAGTCCATCCTAAAGGAAATCAGTCCTGAATATTCATTGAAAGAACTGATGCTGAAGCTGAAACTCCAATACCTTGGCCACCTGATGTGAAGAACTGACTCATTGGAAAAGACCCTGATGCTGGGAAAGATTGAAGGCAGGAGGAGAAGGGGATGACAGAGGATGAGATGGTTTGATGGCATCACCGACTCGATGGACATGAGTTTGAGTAAGCTCTGGGAGTTGGTGATGGACAGGGACTCCTGGAGTGCTGCAGTCCATGGTGTCACAGAGTCGGACACATCTGAGCGTCTGAACTCAGACTGACTGATGAAAATCAAAATAACCCACTCAAGGTCACAAGTGAAAACAACATTCACCCTCATGTATAATTATACCAGTTTGTCCTTCTTTATACCAGATTGTAAAATCACACCACAGCTGTCAAGGTCAATGGTCTTTAGGGAACAAAATTAGGAGACTCTCCAGAAGACAGAACAGATCCTCTGAGGTTTAGTGACAGAGGAAAACTGATATAGTTTACCTCAGAACAGTTGGTAAAGGCTGAGACACACAAGCCGATTAACAGAGCCAAATATACTTCTCTATAGTTGTTATGTCTTTCCTCAAGTGACCTTTCCCAGAACAAACAGCAACTTGAAGATTCTCTTCTGATTTAGGCTTTTGGCTCATGTTGTGTTGGAGAGAGCCCTCAACACAGAGGAATGAAGACAGCTACTGAACTGGCTCCCTTAGGCTACCCGTTTCAGTTCTCTGAACTTCAGCTGTTTTCTGTGCAATAGATAAGACTGAGGCCTGAGTAGCATTTCCTCAAACATTTTAGACTATGACCCGGAGTGAGTAAGAATTCATTATACCAGAAGCCAAGATGCACACCCACATGTGTGCGTGCGCACACACACACCCCCTCTGAAATAGTTTGTGATGCCCTGATATATTCAATTCTATTCATTTATTAATTTTATTGGTAAACCCACTTTTGTCACTCTTTAAATTGATATTTTAAACTTTTAACGGGTGGTAAATTATGGTTTAAAAAACTCTGGACTCTGAAAGAGCAGTATAACATCAAGCCAATATCATTCCTGTGAAGTAGGCAAAACTTACCTTTGGTACCCTCCCAACTTACAGGGAGTCATTTTCCTGGCTTTCTCTAGACCCGTTTTATTCCCTCTACCCCTATTTACCCTCACCTCCATTGCTTTATACCTATATATGAAAAACTACTTCTGAGCAGGTGCTTTTGTCTTCTCTGAGGTAGCTTTTTCTGTTTATAATCATCATCCCAGTTTTTGCTTGGGCTAGATTCAGTGGACTTGTTACTTGCAACTAATACAGGTCCTACATTGGAGAGGTGCCTCCATGGATCCCAGTCCCTGAAATTACTCACCTTTGACTTTCAGCGTCAGGTACTTGTAGTCCCAGGCAATCCCATAGATGATCAGGCAGTGGTACTGCCCTGCATCCTTCAGCTGGATTTGGGGGATTAGGAACAAGGCCTTCCCCAGGGGCAGCTGCTCCTCCAGCAAAGTGGCTCTTTCACTGAGCAAGACTGTATCATTTTCCACTTTTTGCAATCTGGCTTTTAAAATTCCGAGTTCCACATGACCTCCAGTGTCAAAATCACACTCCAAGGTCACATTGCTGCCGTAGTCTACCACGTACATTTCCTTTGGGACGGTCACTGTGAACAAAGCTGAACAGAAAATTAGACATTCTCCCATTGTCTGCCTTCACATTTCAGTTCTGTTCAGAGTGGTGGAGCTGAGGAGACCCGTACAACCTCTGTTTCCCAGGAGATACCTATCATTATCTGGGCATTTGCAGAGGTTCCTTTCTATCCCTTGCCCCATCCACTTTGGGGAAGAGTGTAATTCTTGATCCCTGCTCTGAGGTAGTTCTTTCCTCTCAACACTCCTCACCTGTACAGCTGACTGCCCTCCTGCTCCCATTATCCAAGCTCAGTTTCTTTATATGGATCAAATTACATCATTCCCTGCCAAATTCTACCTCCTCTCAGCAGAGACAGTAATAATGACAACTATCAACTGTTGAAATCTTACTAGGCGGTGGGCCTCTGCTAACACATGATCTCTTTTAGTCTCCCCAGCAAGCCAATGAGGTAGAGCTATCATCTTTTTAGAAAATGAAACTGACACAGAATGGATAAACAACTTGCCTAAGATTGCACAGCCACGATCAGACCTAGGTATTTCTAAGTTCAAGTGCTGTTTGTTGACCACCACATCATAGAAGCCAACTGTAGAAATGTCTTTTCTACTAATACTTAATGTATGTCTACTATGTGTCAGCCACTGTTCTAGGCTCTAAACCATATCATTCAATATTGAAAATGCAACCACAAAATATGCATAATCATTAGTTTTATAGTTGAAGAAACTGGGTCCAAGAGGTTTGTTTCAGGATGAACAATTAGTAAGGTTAAAATTCAGAGCCAGTCAGATGGTTGACTTCAAAATCTATAGTTTTTGAAACAGTAGTTCCCAAACTGTGAGGCATATACCTCAAGAAGAATGCACAATGATTTTAGATATGAAAGAATCAAGGCCCAAAGGGAGTTGGGTTATTCAGAGAAGAATTTATTCTCTCTTCAATTCTATTTCAATCTTTCAAATTACACACAATTTGCAACTAGACTTTCACATCTCTAACAATGATTATTTTTCCTTTTAATAAAACAAGAAGCTCTCAGGCAGATATTATCAGGGTAGACTTTAAAGCACCACTTTACTTTTATAGAGTTTATTTTTGCTCATATCTTCTATTTACTAGTACTATTGATACTGGTTTTCCATTTACCACAGGGGTAGATTGTTTTGTTCAAAAAATAAAAGCTCAGTTAATTTAGATAATTCTATAAAAACAGTAGCACAAAGAGTAGTCAAACATGGCAAAACTAATGAAAGTAGTGTATGCATGAATAAATTGTGAGAAACTGTACAAAATTATGCTGTTTCCATCAATAATGAATGGACAGTCATTAAGACTGAGTGTACGATCTCAAAGTAGCTTCTGAATTATTATAGAAGATTAGAGCAAATTATGTTCTGTAGGACTTGCTTCATTAATCCATTCATTTAATTAATTTAAAGCTTTCATTTAACAAATATTTAGGGATGGCTTCTAAGAATATGCTATTCAAGGGGTTGCTTCCACATAAAACACAGTATGAAAAGAGCTTGGGATTTAGTGCTAGATGAACCTGGGTTCAAATTCTGAGTGTATCCAGATTATGAACCCTTTGATCTTGATCACGTCATTAAACTTCTATGAGTCTCGGCCTCTTTATCTACAAAGGTCCAAGGTTAAATCTACTTGTCAGCAGTGTGGTGAAAACTACATAAACAGCACAAAGTGACTTATTTTGGCAGGTAGTAGGTAGTCAGCAAACATTGGTTCCTTTCTTTTCTACCATGCTTTAGTTCTTGAGAAAGTGGTATTCTGACCATCCTGGACAACAGATTTAACAGTAAAAATAGTTTGGGGGTTTTCAGCTGCTCGAATGATTCACTTGAAATTTTCTTCTGACGAGTTTTTCCTCCTACCATCCTGCAAATCTTTGAAGGCAGTGCAGGTTGAATTTGTTTTGGTGTCTCCAGTGCACATACTAAATTCTAGTTAAAGGTTTAACATATAAATGACAAAAAAGGAGGAGAGGAAGGAAAAAAAAACAAGGATGAGCCTACCCATACTTGCAAAGAGTAGGACATGACTGAGAGACTGAGTATGCATGCACCCATATTCACTTCTGTTTTCCTCTCATCAAACTGCATTTTGCCCTAAATTGCACAAACTGGCATTCTTAATCACCCCCCAATGCACCTGTTAGTGTAGTGCACAAATATGAGTTTCATTAAAAATAAGTGATGAGTTTATATCTTTCTTCCAAACCCTGTTTTAACCACAACTACAACATGAATGTGCCTTTCTAACAGAAAGGAGTTCACATCTGCCTGGTATTTTTTTGTGCAGAATGGGGGTCGGGGCAGTGCTTCCGTATAAAACAATGCTAATTAAGTTTCCATTTTCTTGGCCATATTGAGAAGACTCTGGGATGATACATGTGAAAAAAGACACTGTGCTTCTAAATTTCCCACATGATTCCATTTTGTGGAATGCCCTGAATACTTGTAATAACCCTCTCCCAAGTCTCCATAATAGGATACTCCTAAAAGTAGATTCCTAGAATCATCTCCAAATATTTGTTATTAAGTCCTCTTATAACTAAAACAGAGCTACCTGTTATGAAATCTACTCTGCCCTGAAGAGTAAAATATTTATTTATTCACTCGTCAAATACGTATCTTCTATGTGCCTGGTTTAGAAATTTATACTACTTTTACTCTCTTCATAGTACTTCCTTCTCTTTTATTATAAAATAAAAAAAGAACAAGAAACAGGGAAGAGAAATGGGGCTTGCATGGAAAGTTACTTGCTGAGTCTGAGATTTAACAAGAATCAGAGGACTTTGGCGTAGTCTCTATTGGATTTATTTAGCAAATTTATTTACCACACTTACACTTTCTTCTCGTGAGAGAAGGAACACCTGTAACTTCCTCTGGAACTCCCCACAGCATACAGCAGAACTCCCCTCTTCACTGTCTGGGCCTTTGACAAAAATCCATTTTCTGCTTGCTTTTCCCCTCTGCCTTTTACAGTGTGTATGTGTATATACACACATGGAACTCTTTATGGAAGCATAAACTATGCTATCTCTCAGACAGGTGACATTTTCCAGCTAACATTCACAAGAGGAAAGGGCAATTGGCAAACATGAGTCATGTATCTGAGTCACCCAGAATAACTAGAAGATTGTTAGGTGGTCTAATTTTGCCACAATTGAAGTTTCTAAGACATGCAAAGCTTTCAGCTTGATTACTTGATATAAAATGACAAGTTTAGGAATGCAATACACTTTTGCAATCCTAAAATATTCTTACTTATCATAAATTACAGAGGAAATCAAAACACTCTTGCAAACAATTCTGTGAAGAGGTTTTTCTCAAGCTTGGCCGCATATTAGAGTCACTAATGAGAGGACCTCAACCTTAGCCATAGTTGGTATCAACTGGAAAGCTTTTAAAACATACTAATGCTCAGACCCCACTTTGTATCCTATAAAATTAAATTCTAATCATTTTGTGAGGCCAGCATCAACTAAAAATAATTTCCTGGGAGTTTCTAATGTGCAAGGAGCATTGAGAAACCATTGGTTAGACAAATAAAACACCTGCACTTGCAAACATCTTCTACAATCCTGCCATTCAAAGTGTTGTCCTCAGTTTTCTTAGGCAGCTAGTTAGGAATGCAGAATCTCAGTCCCGTCCCAGGACCTAAAGAAGCAGAACCTGCATTTTAATGAGGCTGGGGGATTCAAATGCATATTAACATTTAAGAAACAGTTATAACACTGGTTTGTATTTGGTCTGTTGTATAAGATAGAGTGATAGTTAACATTTATTAAACACGAGGAACCAGACACTAGGCTAAACTGTACACCTCATTTGATGTCCCCAAAGCTGCAAGACTGGAGTCACTGCACTCATTTTACAGATGGGGAAACTGAGGCTTAAAGAAAAGATACAACTCGCCCAGAATGAAAAAGTGGGAGCTCATGGAGTTGGAATTCACATTCATATCTCTGTGCCCTGAAAGCCTGTACTTCTAACAGATATGACTATGTATCTACTGGCCTGTGTATACTACATACGTAAATGAAACAGATATACTTTTCAGCTTTATACTAAGTAAAAGACATTTGTGTTCTATTTCATATGTCGCATGGTTATTAAACTAAATTTCAATATAGGACTGAACTCCTGATGTCATCAGACAAAGGAGAACACTGGAAAAGTTTCCACAACTGCAAAACTAAGCAGACAAAATATTAATTTGGTCATCTTGAGTAAATTAAAGGGTGAAGGATGTGTCTAGAGCATGAACAATTAATACATGAAGATTCTGTAGACAGATGAAAATAGCTGACTTGAGTAATGCTAGAGCCTTTTTGAAAGTTCTTGGGAGAAGTTTGCATTTTATTTGCAACCAGGAGTCAGCACCTGTCATATCTCCAGGAAACACAAAACAATTTATTTGCATTAACTCCCAAGATAGCTTCCTCTTTAAGCTAATTTTATACTTTTCTTCTGCATTAACAACAGAAACTTAAATGTTTACAGACTTCCTACCTAAGGGATTTGAAAAGTGAGGATGGGTCTAGACAGGGAGGTGAGAGGAGACTGCTTTACACAGCCAGTCTTCAGAAAACTCTAGTTACTGGTTCTGGATAGATGCTGCTCTGGACACCTGACTCATGCACTCCTCTTTGCAGGAATGCTGCATGAGACATCTTGTCTACTTGAAATCCTTTCCCCAACCTGATTCTTTTGCTTTGTATATCTCAGGGGTCAGCAGATGTAGTTTTGAAAGCCGGCTATAACCTAGGCAGAATGACCCAGGGTGTGGTCCCTCTCCTAGAGAGATGTCAAGTACCATCCTGGCCATGTGCCTCCTGGGTTTTATTCTTCTCAGACAGATGAAGAAAGAAGGACACATCAATGAGAGACATAAGATTGGGGTTACTTTTTCTTCCAAGACATGACAAAGTACAAAAATAAATATTTTTCCTTGAATGTGTCTAAGTTATAAGAAGGTTTTGAAATGAAAATATAAGGAAAAAAACTGAACTACAACACTACAGTAATATGAGTGAAAGTATATATACATAGATCAATAGAACAGACAGAGGGTCCAGAAAAAGACTCACATAAAAAGAGCCAATTGATTTTTTTTTACAAAGGTGCAAAGGCAATCAATGGAGAAAAGACAGTCTTTTCAATAAGTGAACAAATGGGGCTGGAGCAACTGGATGTCCATATACCAAAAAGAAAAATCCCAATCTATACTTCACCGTATACAAAAATCAACTGAAGGTGGATGGCAAACCTAAATGTAAAGTGTACAACTATAAAATGTTTAGAAGAAAACATAGAAGAAAATCTTTCAGGTCGTGGGCTAGGCAAAGAGTTATTAGATATGATTAGACATCAGGGGGAAAAAATTGATAAATTGGATAGCTTCAAAATTAAAATCTCTCCTCTGCAAAAGACACTGTTAAAAGAATGAAAAGATGAGCCACAGACTGGCAGAAAATATTTGCATATCCCATATCTGATAAAGAATTTGTATCTGGAATACATAAAAAACTCTCAAAACTGAAAAATAAGAAAATAACCCAATTAAAAATGGTCAATGATTTGATATGCACTTAAGAAGATATATGGATGGTCAATAGGTACATGAAAATATGCTTATCATTACCAGATACTAGGGAAAGGCAGGTTAAGCCACAATGAGATACTTTTGTACACCTATTAGAGTGACTTTAAAAACAAAAATGACAATGTCAATACCAAGTGATGTCAAGGATGTGGAACAATTGGAACTCTCATACTTTGCTGGCAGGAATGCAAAAACAGTATAGACACTAAGAATGGCTTGATGGTTTCCTATAAAGTTAAATATATATTTAATGTATGCCTCAGCAATCCCACTCCTAGGTATTCACCCAAGTGAAATGAAACTCTATGCGTCCACAAAAACCTATATACAAATGTTTAGAGCAACTATATTTATAACTGCCAAAAACAGGAAACAACCCAAAAGTCCCTCAGCTGGAAAATGAATAAACAAAATGTGGTGCATACATACAGTGTGATACTAATCAGCAACAAAAAGGAATGAACTACTGATTCATATAACAATATGGATAAATCTCAAATGCACTGTGATAAGTGAAAGAAGCCAGACAAAAAGAATGTCTTAAAATGATCCAGTTTATATAACATGCTGGAAAATTTAAAACTATCGGATAGAGTTGGGGGACGGCTGAGGGACGGTTTTCGGTTGTTTGGAGACGGAACTGTTCTGGGTCTTGATTGTGGTAGTGGCTATATGACTATGTGTGTGCGTCTGTGCTCAGTCATGTCCAGTTCTACAGCCCCCTAGATTGTAGCCCACCAGGCTCCTCTGTCAAGGGAATATCCTGGCAAGAAGACTGGAACGGGCTGCCATCTCCTATTCTAGGGCATCTTCCTGACCCAGAGATCAAACCCATGTATCCTGCATTGTCAAGTGAGGTCTTTACCACTGAGCCACCTGAGAAGTGGCTATATGATTACGCATATGTCAAAATTCATAGATGCTTCTATTTTTAAAAAGTATACATTTTTACTTCATGTCAATTTAAAGGTTAGTAATTTTAAAATGAAAATATTTTCTGATAGCTTTTCACTTCACACTTTAAATTATTTTACAGATAACACAGTAGACCATCCACAGAGCATTCATATAAGGAAAGAGTTAATTTCACACCTGTCTCTAAAAATCCCAGCTGGGCAGGGTCCCTTAGGAAGAAAATATCAAGTGTTCATTTAGCTGCCACTGCAAGGGCAGGGCTGGAGTAAGCAGAATATTGGGGTGTTCTCCAAAGATGGCCCCAAGTCAATGACTCTAGTGCCAGACCCTGCTGAGCAGCTCAAGGGAGGGGGAGGAATGCTACTGGGATCACCTGGAAGAGAAGGAAAAGCTCCTCAAAAATTTACCAGTGCCAAAAAAGGCATTCTTTCTCAGTCAAAGGCAGCATGTTGGATGACTTCCCATGGGATTGGGGCTGCTATTACAGAGGACCTAATTCCTTGTGTCCATCTCTGTCTTCTTCTCTTACATACTGGTGTTCACCACTATAAAGCACTCATGATCCTGCCTGGACACGTGAATGGTCTGAACTGCCTTTCTCAGGAAACTCTGAAACTGCTTTCCTCCTTGCCATCTATGCCCTCGAGTAGAGTATCTTTCTTCAAAATCCAAAGGCATAGCCTAAGGTTCATTTTTCATTTAGATGCAAGGAAGACTCTGATTTCCCAATTCAAGTAACCCACATTAATGTGTGAATGACCAATGGCTGCTACTGTTGCTTTTTAATAGAGGAAGTGTCCCTGACAGAAGAGAAAAGGACAGCTGCTTGGCATCTCATCTTTCAGGACACTTAACCCATGTTCTCTTGGGTCATTTCAGCGATGCATGGTCTGAATGGTCCTGTCATCTTGTTACTACATTTACTGGAGAGTGGGGATAGGCGGACCAATATTATCAGTCCCTGTTTCTGTAAGATAGGGAAACAGGTGTGCACAAGCCACCCTGGGCACCATTCTTTTGACTGTGCTTGTTACAGCTGGCAATCACCCTTTCTCTTAAAGAAAGTCTGTAGCCCAAGGACCACATTCTCATCCTCAGCTTCAGCTAGGAGTCATCATCTGTTCCTCTTTCTCAGGACCCTCCCCAGCCTTTGACTTTTCTTACCTACTGTCTGTTGAAGCTGCATTCCCAGGCTCAAAATTAGTAGGAGGAACATGTTCTGTACCGGATCTGAAACAGACAATTGAAAGTCTCAGAGCCTTCTGCAGTTTTACTGGATCTCATGATCTGGTCATTTGCTCACTCCTGAAAACAATGAAATGACTGTAAACAAATCTTTGGGGAGGCAGCGGACCGTAGTAGAGTAGAGTTAGGAAGAAAAGTTAAAGGCTGATTGCCTAGAGGAGATGAGAGATAGGGTAAGAAGAAGTGAGGCACTCTATCGATCCAAATTAGAATCTCTTCTTCCTTTTCTTGCAACCTTTTCTGAGTATGAACCAGTCCTCATGACTGGTAACCACAAAAGCTGGTCATCTGCACCTCTTTGTTTCTTCCATAGTTTGTAGGCCTTTGAAAGTCAGTCTTGTTCATCAAATGGATACTGTACACCATCATTTCCAGCTGGACTGCAACTCTGGGAACAGAGCTAGATACTCTATAAAAACTTGCTAGTTGACTGAGCAGGTAAAGTTGTCAAGCTCTTTAGAATGCTGTGACCTAGTACACCTATCACTTGAAGGACCTGTTACTAAGTACTGAGAGAGTGCCATAGCTTAGTCCTGCTTCACCTTCTGTGCTTCCATTTTTGCTCACAAACTTTCCCACTTAAGGACTTCTCACAGCTAAAGCAAAAGGGACAGGGTATAACACTGTCAACTTCTTTGTCCTCAAAGAGGCTTTAAATTTTAAATTTTATTGGCCTTGGAAGCATTTCTTCAAGGGGAATTAATCAGTCAGAGCCATACATCTGAATCAGGTAAAAGCAGAGCTGCTCCGAATACAATGGAAAACCAGTGAAGGATTTGGATCAGGAGAATGATATGACCTCATTTACATTTTTAAAAGATGACTTGGTTTTGGTGTAGACAATAGACTACTGTTGTGAAGGACAGTGGGATGGGCAAGATTGGAAGGAGAACGATCAATAAGGAATTTTTTTGCAGAGATGATAATAGTTTAGACCAGAGCAGTGGGCCCAGTGGAGATGAGAGGTGGTCTGTTGAAGGTTTTTTTCCATTTATACATTTAAAACATTTATTCAACTTTTAAAATTTGTCCTTTAAATTATTAAAATTTTAACAGCTTTATTGGAGTATATTTGACATACAATAGAGGATTATGTGTGTGTGTGGGGTCGCAAAGAGTTGGACATGACTGAGCGACTGAACTGAACTGATACATATATATATGACACAGATGATTCAGTGGTACAGCTCAGTGGTTTTTAGTATATTCTATAGAACTGTGCAACCCATACCACTATCCAATTCTGGATCAGTCTCATCACTCCAAAAAGGAATCCCATGCCCATTAGCTGAAACTCCCCAATTCTTCTTCCCTCTTCCTCCAGTCCCTGGCAATCACTAACCTTCTTTCTGTCTCTATATTTGCATATTCTGGTTATTTCATATAAATACAATCACACAATATGTGGGCTTTTGTGTCTAGCTTCTTTCACTGAGCATATTATTTTCAAGACTCCTCTGTGTTGTAATGCATTACCAGTATTTCACTCCTTTTTATGACAAGCTGAGCACTGAAGAATTGATGCTTTTGAACTGTGGTATTGGAGAAGACTCTTGAGAGTCCCTTGGACTGCAAGGAGATCTAACCAGTCCATCCTAAAAGAGATCAGTCCTGGGTGTTCATGTTAGGACTGATGTTGAAACTGAAACTCCAATACTTTGGCCACCTGATGCGAAGAGCTGACTCATCTGAAAAGACTCTGATGCTGGGAAAGATTGAGGGCAGAAGGAGAAGGGGATGACAGAAGATGAGATGGTTGGATGGCATCACTGACTCAATGGACACGAGCTTGGGTAGGCTCCAGGAGTTGGTGAGGGACAGGGAGGCCTGGCGTGCTGTGGTTCATGGGGTCGCAAGGAGTCAGACACTACTGAGAGGCTGAACTGAACTGAACTGATTATTCTATCAGTGCATGTTCACACCACATCTTTCTTATCCATTCAACAGTTGATAGATATTTGAGTTGTTTCCATTTGTTGGCTATAAGGCTGCTATGAACATTCATGTACAAGTTTTTGTGTAGATATGTTTCTGAATCATTTGAGTATATATGTAGGAGTGGAACTGCTTGGTTAAATGGTAACTCTGTATTTAACTTTTCCAGAAACTGTCCAACTGTTTATCAAATATATGATTTGCAATTGCTCTCTCCCATCCTGTGATTGTCTTTTCAGTTTCTTGATAGAGTTCTTTGAAGCACAGATGTTTTAATTTAATTGTAAAGTACAAATTAATTTTGATGAAGGCTAGTTTAGTTGAAAACTTTCTCTTTTAATTGCTTGTTCTTTAGGTGTCATCTCTAAGAAATCATTGCCTAACCCAAGGTCACAAAGATTTACATCTATGTTTCCTTCTGAGAATTTCACAGCTTTAGTTCTTCTTTTAACATTTTTAACCCAGTTCGAGTTAATTTTTGTAAATGGCGTGAAGTAAGATTTCATTCATTCATTTGCACATGGACATCCAATTGTCTCTGCACAATTTGTTGAAAACAGTATTCTTTTTCCCTTGAATTGTCATAGCACCCTCACCAAAAATCAACTGACCTAAAATGCATGGGCTTGGCTCTGAAATCTCAATTCTATTCCATTGACATATATGTCTGTCTTATGTTTGTACCACAGATTGCTGATTATGTGGTAGCTTTATAGTAAGTTTTGAAATCGGGAAATGTGAATCTTCAAACTTGCTTTTCTTTTTTTAAGACATTACTTTTATTATTATTATTTGATGTGTGGCTATTCTTGCTCTCTTGCATTTCCATGTGAATTTTAGGAAAAACTTCTCCATTTCCACACAAGAAAGCAGCTGGAATTTTGATAGTGATTACACTAAATCTGTAGGTCTATTAAGGAATACAGCCATCTTTATAATAATAAGTCTTCTAATCCATGAATGTAGCATGTTTTTCCATTTATTTAAGTATTCAATATTTTTAAAGAAGATTTGATGGGAATTGCTGACAGGTTGGAAATATAGTTTAACAAAAGTAAATAAATCTAGGAAAATTTCCAGGTTTGGGGCTTGAATCACTAGGAATGGACATACTTACTAAAAAGAAGAAAACTAAGAAAGAAGCAGATTCGAGAGCAGAAATCAAGCACTGTATTTGGAATATCTTTGGCTTGAAATGACTATTAGACTCCAAGTAAAGATGTTTAGTAGGTAGGTGGACAACTGGTGGTCCAAAGTTTAGAGCAGAGATACACATTTGGGAGTCATTAATGCATAAGTGTTACTTAAAGCCATAATACTCCATGGTGTCTCCTAAAGAGAGACAGAGAAGGAACAGTGTCAAAGGACTGAGATATGGGGCATTCCAACATTTATGGGTCTTTGAGGGGGGAATACTAACAAAGAGAACTGGGAGAACGAGTATAAAGGCAAATTAAGCCTCTCTTATTTTCTATATTCTGATGATTTGACAGCTGGAGTCTTGTTGACTCTAGAGGGACTGCCTTCTCAGGATTAGCCAATTCCTAGAGACAGTAAACAATTTACCTATTTCATATGCAAATCAACCTATCCAGAGACCTACCTCCAATCACCTCCTTTTGGGGCTTTCACACTCTGGGCCACTATATATATATATATATATATATATATATATCTGCTCTAATCACCTTAGGGCCGATAACAGATTATTCAGTCTAGCCCAATTCCTTCCTATGGAAACCACAGTGAGGGCTCCTGCCCACTTTGCCCCCTCGCCTTCTACCTCCTGTGCAACACTGGTATTGGCCTGTATGGCCCTCTGTGGTGTGGCATGCCCCTTTCTTTTGGGATCTGTGACTATAACAAACTACTTTTTTCAATTACAGTCACCTCCTGATCTGTTGGCTTCACCACTACTAAATAATAATAAAATAACAGATAAAATAATGAACAAAAATTTAAAAATAATAATAATAAAACCTAGAGTTTAAAACATAGAAGGAGGGAGTTATCAGTTGAGCCAAATGCTCCTGAGCACTGGATTTATCAGTATGAAGGTCACAGATGACCCTGATAAGCACAGTATCAGTAGATTTCATACAGATAAAAATAGGAAGTAAGGAAGTGGAGACAACAGAATATGGGCAACTTTTTAGAGAACAGTGCTATAAAAAGGGGAAGAGATATGAGGCAGTAGCTAGAAGGGAATGCAAGGTCCACAGGGGGCTGTATTCTTGTTTTTAATGTAGGGAGGGAGATATTAAAACAGGTAACAACTGGGTATGGTAGTCATATATGGAACAGTAGTCATGGATGGATGTGAGAGTTGGACTATAAAGAAAGCCGAGCACCAAAGAATTGATGCTTTTGAAATGTGGTGTTGGAGAAGACTCTTGAGAGTCCCTTGGACTGCAAGAAGATCCAACAAGTCCATCCTAAAGAAAATCAGTCCTGAATATTCATTGGAAGGACTGATGCTGAAGCTCCAATACTTTGGCCACCTGATGCGAAGAACTGACTCATTGGAAAAGACCCTGATGCTGGGAAAGATTGAAGACTGGAGGAGAAGGGGACGACAGAGGATGAGATGGTTGGATGGCATCACCGACTTGATGGGCATGAGTTTGAGTAAACTCCGGGAGTTGGTAATGGACAGGGAGGCCTGGCATGCTGCAGTCCATGGGGTCGCAAAGAGTCGGACATGACTGAGTGACTGAACTGAACTGGGAATAAAATCTAGTGCTTTCCAGCAGGAAATGCTCAAGACACACCTTAGCTGGACTTAAAAACCCTCTTCCTTATTGAAAATGCAAATACATCCAGAAAAGATATCATTTTAAGCTGCATCTGTAGCCTAGCACTTTCTGAGCATTTTTGTTTCTACAGTACAAAAGGATAGCATGTAGCATGTAGTTCTGGCAACAGAAAGGACTCCGGATTCACCCAATACTGATTCTAACTTCCCCTTCTTCCCTCCCCATCCAAGGGGACTTTCCTTGCACACTGCTTCCTTGAGCCAACTAAGAGACAGTCACTGTCATAAAGGTACT